GGAGGTAATTTTTGTTTAAATGCGCTATTGTAAATTTAACTAAATCACATCTGATCGAGTATAATTAGGTCTAAACCAGATCCAGTGGGCTTGTTTACTCGTTGGTTCGAATGAGTTGGGCTATTCACAAATACAAAGTGCTTAAAAATAGAAATCAAGATTAAGTTAAAGGCTAATAAATAAAATTAATAAAAACGCTAGAGGAAGGGCTTGAACCTTCGACCTTGTGGTTAACAGCCACACGCTCTAACCAACTGAGCTACTCCAGCACTGTTGCAATTGTCTGCAGCAAATTAAAGAACATAATTTTATTGTCGCTTCTTAATCCTACCTTTCAGTAATATCTAACAAGAGGAGAGGAAGGGGAATTCCAAAACAAAAGGACAAGAAAGGAAGTTGCTGCAGTATTTGTTACTCTGGGAGGGTTGTCTTTATGCTTGAATTCTTAGAGTTAGAGCATAGCATACAAAAAAGTCTAAAAGGGTACGCCACCAATAATTGTTCAGTTTTTAGTGTGAAAAGACCGAATTTTTATGCCATTTTTATGGTGATTTTTGTGTATTTTGTTGTGAATTGGGTTTTACTGTGTTTAATCTTGGGTATTTGAATGAGGAATTTATTAATGTTGTATGTGTAGCTGTTGATCCTTTTCAGTTGTGAGGTGTTTTGTGCTTCAATTATTGAGCTTTTTCGTTTGTTAGTGTTTTTTTTTCGTCTCCAATTTGTGAGGAAGAACCTAAAGGAAGTAGACTTTGGTGATTAGTAGCTTAATTGAGCTCTAATGGTGATTGGTAACTTTATCGAGCTTGGTTGGATGGTTATATTGAAGATTATGTGTAGATAGTTGTTGGATTTTTAGTGTGGTAAAGTAATTTTTTGTTACCCTTTTTGGGTTTCTTGCATGTGATCACAAAAGAGTTCCTCTTGGCTTCACAGGTTAACTTCTGAAAGCAAAAACAGGATCACACTTTTTGAACTGTCTTCTTGTAATTTCGATTATTGATATTTTGATTTGGGATTTGTTGATTTAGAGGGAAGATTTGCTGAGTCATGGAGTTGCTATCACTAAAAGAACACCGTGCACAGACATTGTTGATCCGTTATCAATTGGATGTTGAAAAGCTACTTGCTGTGCTTGTGGAGAAGGGAAAATCGTCCTTGTTTACTGAAGCAGTTGTGACTGTTTTTGAACATCTCGACAATGATGTGCCACTGATTTCATCCTCTACGATAACTTGTGATTATGCATAGAGGATGTATCTGGTGATAAGGTCACAAGAATGGAATGTGTCCATTGTTTCTGCAATGATTGTAAGCATTGCACCCATTCTCAATGAGTGATTTTCTCTTTTCAGCTGCAAATCATATCATTTCTGATGTGCATAATTCTATAAATACATTGATTTCAGACGTTAGGTGTTGGTCAAAGTTAGTATGTTTGTATCCAATTTTGTTGTAGATGCTCATACCTAGATCCAAAAATTGTGCTTGCCTGTTGGTAAAACCATTTTGAACTTCTATTTGGAACTTTAGCAACTGATGACAGTATATGAATGTATTGGTAGTATATTGACATATTATTAGGGGCTATACCTAATGCTAATTTTCAATCATGATTAAACTCTTTAGAGCTTCTTTTCTCTTCAGCATCCTTTTCTTGTTAAATCTCTTTTACTGATTTTGCCTTTTGAAGGATGGAACAAAACACTTCATTATTTAAATAAATGGGGTTCAGAGCAGGTGCATCCGGTGCCTGGAACACAACTGTAGTGCCTTTTGCAATGAAGCTATTGTCAGGAATTTAGTTAGTATAAGACATCCTGATTTAGCAGAGAAATTTGCTTACTTTCTTCTTGAGTCATATATTGAGGACAATAAAATGGTTAAATGGTGCCCAAGCATCCCTCATTGTGGGAATGCTATATGAGCTGAGGACGATGAAGTTTGCGAGGTAGAATGTTCATGTGGTTTTTTTCTCAGTTGCTTATCAGAAGTACACTCGTCTTGTTCATGCTTAATGTGGGAGCGCTGGAGCAAGTCGTGCAGAGATGAATTTGAAACTGTTAACTGGATCACGGTTCATACAAAGTCTTGTCCAAAGTGCCCCAAACCTGTCGAGAAAAATGGTGGCTGCAACCTTATGAGCTGTATCTATGGCAGTCATTTTGGTCAGAATTCTTTCCTCTGTCTCTCTATCACCAATGTGTAAATTTGCATCTTGATGCTTATTTATCCAAAAGAAAAGGAATTAGATGCATATGATTTGTAACACAGGGATGTGGATTTTAAAAATTTGCTCTCAAGTTATTGAATGCTAACCTTGATAATACTCATATAAACCTGGCAGCATGGTCTGGCATGACTTGGCTGTCTTTTATCTGCTTGGATTGTTGGGCTTGACTCAGGATGGCTTACTGCCAATCACTTCTGGATTCATTTTACTGATTTTCACATTCTTGCAACTTCTTGTTTATTCTTTATATATATGTCGTTCAATGAAGTTGGGTTACATAAATACTTTGCTCTTCTCCTTGTCTTTTGTCACAGTTGGGTGTGTGTGGGTAGAGACCACACCTAGTCAAGAATAGTGGGTCACAGTTGTGGTCGCTACAAAGAAGACCGAGATAAACAAACTGAAAGGGCCAAACAGGTTCTCTATTATCATAAGCGCTACAAAGCTCATACAAATGCCCTTTAGTTTGAAAGTAAACTGAGGGAGTCAATCCCATGCAATGTGTCAGCTGCCCAAGAGAGGGAATTGAGACTCAAAAGATTTTAGCTCGGTAACTACTGGACTCAAACCTTTTATGCAATGAACCATTTCGTGTGGCACGCAGAATGAGGTCTTGTATTGTTGTTGCTACTTTGTCTGCGACATGGAGTAGGGAGCCATTGCAGTTCCTGTAATCCATGCCCTCTTTTTTATGCTGTAGATCTCGGGTTATAGCGTGTGCCAATATAGATACACGGTATTGGCAAGCTAATTGAGGCTCGGTTAGCTTTCAAGAGATGCATTATAAAACTAGTCTATAATATTAGCCGGTATTCTGTAGTGGGTTTATATTATTATTTTTTTAAATGTAAAAAAAAATATTTAAGAATGTAAAAAATATTTTAATAGTGTAATTAAACCTAATTAAGTGAATTAATTTTTAAACCTTCACTTAATTTTTTGCAGATCCAAGTAATGTAAGGTTGACAACTATGTCAAATCCAAGCGTAGATCCAGTAGTCTTGGATTTGGCAATTGTATAAGACCCACGTTCTAATTTACTTAATCTAATTTACTTGAATGGTTTGTTAAAATTTTTTTGCTAACTAATAATTTCTTGTGGATTTCTGATGTATTGTTAAAAAAACAACAACAAATATCTCAGCCAAACACTACCAAATTTTAATAAATAGATCTAGAATTTAAGCTAAATTTTGC